GGTTTTGCCACGGGCCATTCTCAACATGAAAGTCAGAGTTTTGCCGGGATTTAAACGGCGACAGAAATTTGCACGACGATGTAACCGAGAACGCTGCGTATTATGGAAATAATTCCGAGTATCGCTCCTATCAGAGAGTCAAATCGTTTAACGGCTGTTAGCTGATGGTTAACGGAGAACAGGCAATTCAATCGCGTTGAAAATTCATACGCGATAATAAATAAAGTGGCACAATATTGCGCGAAAAATCATGAAATAAAATATAACGGAAAACAAACTTGTAACAATGTCCAAAATGTGAATATTAATTGCGTTACGTTTAACTGCAGATGTAATTAGAGCGTTAATTAACCCCGCGTAAATCGACGCGGCTTATTCTCGTCGCGGAATTCAGTTGGACTTTTTTACTCGTGTGCTCGTTATGCATTTATTGTATAATGCATTAAATCGTATGTTAATTTTAGTTTTCGATAATCTCTACACATCGTCATTCTATTAAACGACTCATTTTATAGCGCCAATCGCGCGATTTAATCCTGATGGATGTCGGCACGTTACACGTTCCTGCGGCGCGGCGTGGTCAGCAAGGTCGATAGAGTGAAAACTTGTGTCGACATTGGATAATGAAATCAGGGACCCACGCACATCACCCATGGAATCCAGAAAATTAAGGCATGTTCTTCCCTGGATTACACGGGCATCGTAAACTTGCACGTGAAACGCTCTTCGCGAGACATTTCGCCGTCGAGAAACGCGCGATTAAGATTTAAGTCGTTGCTCTGTCGAGACAGAATGCGCGACTGCATCTGCATCCACCACGCACGCTGTATCTGCAGTTCAGATCAATCGATAACTGATATCTGGTAAAGAGAGAGTGAGAAAGAATGAGAGGGAAGAGAAGAGCGTAAGAATATAAATTTCCCTACATAGCAAAAAAAGAAGAAAATATATGCACGTTTCTTTTATCTAATATATCGTTTTGATTATTTTATAGATTGATAATTATAGATTGATAACTATTCATTATTATTTATAGATATGCATTTATAATCATTCTTCAAGAATTTAATCTCTTATATAAGTTTGTGCTATCACGTATTCAAATGAAAAATGCTGAAACTCTTTCGCAAATATAATACAAATGAAATATCAATTTCGTAATTAAGCATCTAGCATATGCAACAGAAATATTTAATTTTCCCTAAAATCTTTGATATTTCGCCACTATTAAAAAATACATTAGTTAATTTTATATGAATTAACTTGTTATCAGAGTTACAGATTTCTTTATAAAACTAGCATAAATTTTGAAAAGTAGTATTACTATTCACTACTAAAACAAAGTCCATCGGTGAAACACACGCCGTCATTCAATAAATAAACATATATGCTTCTACAAAACAAACACGGTTCTACTACAGTGTGTATAATATAAACCTTTGATATTAGAGTATCATTACGTTAAAACAGATTATTAATAAGTACGATAAGTGGGACGATTATAAACTTTTGAAATATTATTATAGTTTCTCCGGAGAAAATTATATGTTGCGGCGCTAATCTCCGACATCGAAATACGGATTGATTATCGCGTCCATTATCTCCTCTACCGTAATGGTGGTATATGTGTACACATACACGTACGCAAGAGTAAAAGTAAACACTTTATCCCATTGACATTATCCTATTGGAGATGAAGAGTAATTGAGCGTAGCACAGTGTATCGCGAAAATACAAATCGCCATCACCGACAGTGAAACGGGAACGTCAGCCAGCCGGTTTTATCAACGTGTGGACGACAAAGGCAAATATCATTGACAGTCCATTCTATAAATCACACTCGTAATCGCACATTATGTTAACGCGAGCGTAATGACAACGATCTAGATCGCCGTGCAAATAGAATCGCGCTCGATCGGAATGAAAGCGAAGATAACACGAATGGATAAGGATATCGGATGCGTTCGCCGATGCATCCGATTAAATCGGTCGTACAAAAACGAAAATATGAGCAGGAGCAGTATAGACGCCATTGAGCGAAACCGGCTCTTCTTAGAAATCGGAGCTGACATGGCTAATTAGCCGGATGACAAGAATGATATTCGTCTTTCAAATGTTGTACAAGTTAATTGCCGCGGACTTTTCTAATCTCTTTATGCTCCCTTTACATCTCGCGACAAGCGCAAGGTAGTCGCTATGCCACAGATGTCAAACCAGCGCAACCGGTTTTTTGTTATGCCATATAAGCACGAAGGATATAAATTATATGTATGTCGCATTATGGTTTGTCTCTTCGTTGAATCTCATCCGCGAGAGATTTAGTTTAAATTTTATTTCCATTGTATCACTCGTACAAAATGCTAAAGTCAAAATTACTCCCGTGTGTTCTTCATTCAAAAAAATATTCATTCATTCACTCTCTCCTTCTAGAGTTAATGCAGATTAAGATTGACAACGAGTGTATGTATCTATTATCCGCTTTTGATCTCTTCCTCTCTTTCCGCCATTGAAAATATACGTATAATGAAACATCCACGTTTTTTTCAACGTACGTGCTTTTCACATGAGTGACACTGACATTTTGAAACGCTTGACAATGTGGGATGTCTTTAGAATACTATAGCTGCAATGGAGAAGTCGTGCTTATTTTCCTTAGTAAATACGCAGTATATTCCGGGCGCAATGCGGCTCTACATACATCGCGGGAATATATTTTCGAACATCCCGATTCTTACCCCGATTACGTTTGAGGTCACGATCGCACTGCATTGAATTCCGCGTCACGTGTGACTTATCGACCTGTTCCGAAGGAACGAGAGATTTGACAGAGAAAATTGCGGCCGCTCATCGATTCTCCCGCGGAAATATATAGGTTGACCGGCCGTAAGTGGAGTGAAAGCTCTAATTAGCGGGCGGGGAGATTTCACCCGCTTTTCAGAGATCGGCTTTACCGTATATAGCGCGTCGCTGTGCAATACGATTCGCGCTCGTTTAATGGGCACTGTCGACGATTGTCAAATTCGCCGACGCGTTATCACCGGCGTTATTAAACTACAAAACGCGGATATGCATTGCACAACAATAAAGCTTACATGGATGTTTAATTAAAACAGTTTATGAAGGGGAGGTAACACATTGCGGCGACAAGTACGATTTTTATTGACGTGAATTGCAGTATAGCGCTCTTGACGCACAAGTGTGCCTTTGTAAAAATTACATGTAACGAATAACGAAGCCACGCGATAAAAATTCAAATTGTATAAAGAATTTAATAGCGATTTACAGAAAAAGGGGTCATCTTTTTTAATTCTTTATCTCAATTCTACAAAAATATAAATTTAATTAATTATTAAAAATATCATATATAGGTTTTTGATACTAAACTTTTTTTTATCCATAATAATTTTGGGTAAGACTTATTTTCTATTACCGAAAACAATTTAAAATTATTTAGTGAGTTGTTTCATTCTTGCATACAATCCGATATATTTCCGATGTTTATCGCAATCAAAATAAAGAAAAAATTCTTAGTGACTTAATTCCCCATTGCGAAGCGATTTCGATAAAAATTCGCTCGACATATTGGATTTTCTGCGAAGTGATGTCTCTTGACGGTGCCGACCTAATGAAACTCGCGAGACATGTCGAAAATGAAGCCGAAGAGCGGGGAAAGAGAGAGATGGCAAGCGATGGAAGCAAGTAAGGAATTCGTTAACGGTGGGAAAGAAGGAGAAAATTGACGAGGGGAAGGACAAGAGGGCGAGGCAGCGACGAGAGAGTCAACTCGGAGGGAGTTATGATGAATTAAGCGAGCGGCCGAGCGTAGCAATGGGATGAACGTGGGTGGATAGCGCAAGTACATGCCGGGTGTATTTTCGTGCGTGGTTCCCATCCGGGAAGAGATACGGATAATATGCTTTTACAATCGTAAGAACGCATTTTCCATGGTTCTAGAACGAGTGCCGACTTTTCTGTTAGAATCAGTCGACGTTTACAGGCCCATACTTTTCCATAAAGTTAATTGGAAGCCTTGAGATAATTTAATTATTTTTTCTCTGTTGTTGCGCAGAAAATCATGTCGTTTTCTCGCAAGGATGGCAAATGAATAAGCGTAAAATAAAGAAATTTCTGTGTGTGCAATCTCGATTGAAAATAATTTCGATCAAATAAGACAATACACGTCGACAACTTGAATTTTTAAATTCCAGAATGATAGTCTAAATAAAATTTCAAGAGAAAAGCTTGGAATTGACAATAAATAAACGGTTTTCTTTCTTCTTCCATCAGCATTTCTCGTCGAATTCAAGCACTATGATCTCAAAGAGCGATTCCGATATCTCTATAGCACTCAATATTTAACGAGGAGTCGCCTGCAACAATTTGAGCGCGATGCAATGAGATGCAAAATTATTCGCCGCATTTCTCCATTCGCCACTCTGGCCAATAATTACCCTTTATCTTTTGCACCACCGCCGTGAAACTCGGTGTCGCGCAGAGAACGTCGCGCGACAAAGTTTGCTCCTCCAACCGAATTTCCAACGGCAGGTACTTCTACGAAGATCGTAATTCTCGGCCGGATTAGGCTATCTTCAGATTTATCGCTCTCCTTTACATCCCTAATGCCATATCGTATATATAGTAAAATTTCACGAGAATCCTTGTTCGAGCTCATCAGAATAGATTGTAACAATTGCTATAAATATTTGATTGGCGCGTGAATCAAATTAACTCGCTACGTAACATAAATTTATTATATATTCGTTAAATTAATAAACTGTTATCCATGTACTTAGTATTATTTAAAACCGTTATTGAGCGTAGGGAATTGGGAAGATCGTTTTTAACGTGAGACACTCGTGTCCGCGGTTAAGGACCATCTTCGGAGATATGGAGTACAAATCTTCTCAGATCCACCGCCAAGGTTGAGTACCAAGAACCATATTGCCATGACGCATTAAATGGATTTAGCGAGGAAGTGGGGACTTATATAGTCGGTTTAATGTTAGTCAGTGTCACACTAGCCACTGACAGGTCAATAGCTGGGTGGAGCGTTTCTCAGCGTAGTTGGAAACAAACGTCGTCACACTTCGAATGTCTCGACGAATATTTTTCTCACCGTGATTATAAACTTTGCGCGTCTAAATTGAGAGAGTGTGCGAAGTGTGATTTGAAAATGGCTGAGGAGACCAGCTCTGCACCCAGTCTATTCGCGAGACTGAAGGGATATCTTAAGGAAGCGCCGTTCTTTTGCAAAATTATCGAACTGGTAAAACCGCTCGTTGTTATAATCTCAATTATCAGTGTCTCACTTAAAAATGTATCAGATAGTAATACATTAGATACGCAAATTGAATATTTTTTTCATTTTTTCAACACAATTCTCAAGAATTACAATTACCGTTGTATTTTTAAGGTAAATGCACCAATGCCTGGACGTACCTATGTCTGGACATTTTTATCATTTTAGTCCTTAAATATAAGTTGTAACGCGAATTAAAATCAAAGAATCAAAGATAAAAATATTTTTCTTGTAGGATTATATTTTTATCTTCGATTTTAATTCGCGTTATATTTAATTAAAAACTAAAATGGTAAAGGTGATGTCCAGATATATGTCTTAAGAGTCCCGGCATTGATACATTCAAAATAAATAGTTGACTTTCAATAATTATTACGTTTGATTTAATAATAAATAATTCTCATATTTCAAAATATTGTTTGAACGGTCCAACACTTTTGAGATCAACGGAACAAAGTCCTTTTTTCATGTTACAGTACAAGCTAATAGCGTGTTTAGCGATTTTTTTCTTTGAATTTCTTCATTCTTTGCTTTGAATTTTTCTGTGAAGCTCTTATTTTATAAAAAGAAATAACAGTTGAACGTTACAGGTTCTCTGCGTCATTGCAGCGGGATTAGTCGCGGGCCCATTTCAACAGAATCAGATGCGGCCGACTGATATACACCATATAGCGATATTTCATGTGGCAGTATGTGGTTATATTCTTATAAACGCGATTCTTATTATGAGTCACTTCTTGGGCGAAAGATTGCCTAAAAAAACGGTGAGTTAAAACACGAAACGCTACCCTGTCGCAAATAAAAGTAATTAATTAGCGCGAAGCACAAAAAATGCGTTCTATAATTGCTAATATAAAAACAATCGTGTTATAAAAGAAAAAAGAGAATAATTATTCTTGTATTAAAACGAGAAAACTTGAAGAGAATTCTCTTTGTCAATTGTGTTTCACGGAGAGTTTAAAAAACCGACCAAAAAATCGGACAAGGGTTACGTGCGTTATTATTTTGCTATATATTTTTCGCGTTTCTTAAAAAAAAAAGCAATTCCACTGAAAATTTAATTACACAAATTAAAAATTTCCGTCTTTCTATTTTTCATTTCCTTCTTTTTGCAGGCTCTCATTTTTTCGACAATGGGAGCGATTCTGTGTTGCACCGCCGGCCTGATTCTGATTCGCGACTGGGACAATTTCTCGAGTAACCTGATTCACGCGTATCTGCAGGAATACAGCGATCAAACGGTAGCGGCCGGTTCTTTCGCGATCTTGGCAGCTCTGGTATTCGCCGTAGATACGTACTTCACCAACAAGAACGATTGATCGTCCATCGATCAATCGTCATCGATGAAGAGCGAGGCGGAATCAACGCGGATCATTTCTATCGTCTCGCCTCGTTAACTAAAAGTTAAGAGCTATTATTTCACAGATTTCACTAATTGTTTTTTCTTCCAAATGTTCCACTATATTCCGCAATTTTTGTAAGGAATGTTCTTGCTTCTTGAACGTCTCCGCTATAGTATTATCTTTGTTACCGTATCGTGAAAGTCATCGTGAGATCATTTTAGAGTAAAAATGTAAGATTCATTCTCAACAAACTGCATTTGTAATTGCTTCTCATTAGCAAGCACGTCATTTTGTTATACATATATTTTACGGAATATACGCAATGCTTACAATGAATAATTGTCATGGCACCTATTTTCGTTACACTATCCTCGCGTACTTGTAACTTAAGGGTATACCGAAATATTTACGTCTGCCTAGCTAGTTTCTGCTTACCTCCGCACATAATATTAACGTTAAATTTTCGTTATACGGGAAGATGTTCTAGGAAAATTGGGAATCATATGCAATACTGGATGAAAAGGTTCTATGCCCATGTTCTACAAATTGTTCATGTCACAAATTCAAGCCGTGGTTAGAAATCGGAACGAAATATACGTTCTGCGTCGTAAAATGATCCAAAAAAGCTCTGCGATAACAAAGATATCGCTGTCAGAGTTTTTATGAAAGATAAAAACTTGTTCATCATGAGCAAGGAAGACAGCGTGGATTTTGAGAATCAAAATAATTTTTTTTCGCAAGCTGTCTGCAAAAAAGAGAATATAATTTTATAAGATAAGATTTATGACTTAAAAATCAAGTTTTATGTATCACGTACAAGATTACCTGTTATATAAGTTATGTATCATTTATATTCATTATTATACTTATGCGAATCGAAATATAAAAAATTCTCATAACGATATAAAAATATGATAACTAAATACTTATATTCATTTACATGCGCAATCACTCTTAAAACTTGCAAATAATGCATTCAAAAATTTGCAACAACAATGCACTCTTAAAACTTTATTCCCTGCGCAAAGATAACAGAGAAAATTCCATTCTCTAAACATCTTAAAACGTGGCGAGCAAAGCGAAATTGACCAAGTTCCTGAGGAGCTTTTTCCGGAGATGAAGGCACTTGCCGAGTTCTTATAAAAGCTAAATCTCGAAGAAAAATCTACATGGTCGCGCTTTTTACTTTCTGGCAGCGAGTCGCAGTGAAAAGTTTCATTTACCTTATTGCCATACAAGAAAGTCATGGATTTGGCGGTCCCTATCTATTTGTCGAAACCCGAAAGATGATTCCGAGAAGAATGCAGTTTCTCTCTTCGGAGCGCCGTCGGTGGCTTTCACGTAGTTCCTTCGCGCGCAAGAGCGTATAACAAATTCGACAAATTCCCCACCGAGTGCTCCGAGAAGGAGCGTAAGGGAAACGTGAAAGTTATCCGCCAACCTACCCTGCTATAGGAAAAGTTCGATGAAAGAAATTCCGTTTTATAATACAAGGTGGAGAGGAAAGTTTAACAATGCACGCACCAATCATTTTTTTTATCATCTCATATATAACAACGATGAAAAGACCTTTTTTTCAACAGATACTGTACACCTCGAAATTGATGCTCTATATATGTATTTTTAAAAGCTTTTCCAGATTTATTCATGCTATCTCTATGTTCAAAAAAATCTTTTATTACATTCAGTTCACATTTGTATGTCTCCATTTGTTATATGTCGGATAACATTTTTTATACACTGAGAAAAAAATTTTCTGCATTTTAGTAAATATTAGTTTGCATACAACTCCATTTACTAAAATGAAGAAAATTTTCTTTATTTTAGTAAATGGAGTCACATGTTGTATGCAAACTAATATTTACTAAAATGCAAAAAACTTTTTTCTTAGTGTATCTTCGATCAAGAGCGGAGGGTATAACGTCGAAATATCGTCATCGTAATAAGAATTCTCCTTTTCAGCACGTGAATGGTATAATACAAGCATTTTCTTCATCGTTATAAAAACCTTAAAAGCGTGTCGCAATAAATTTACCGTGATCTCATTTTCTCCGGCGCCGGAAGATTTAAAAAAATACCTCGCATTTTTTTCACCTCCCAATGCAGACGCTAATTTCGTATTTTAGACTTTTAGAAAATCAAGCTTGCAAATTATATTGTGCGGGAAATACCGACAGAATAATCAGGTTTCTTCGTACAATTGCAATAGAAAATGTATAAAATATTATTCAATTTTATTCAATAAAAGAAGTGAAATTGCTTCTTTCATATTGTAAATCACGCAATTAAAGACAAAAGTATAAATAACAAATAAAATAAAAAAAGAATATTATTTACCTTGATCAAATATACATAATTAATTAAATAGAACACAATAACGACTTATCGTTGTTTGCGGATATGATCATTACTCCAGTAAAATTTTTTAAATTTTAATACAACAAAATTTTGAGTTAAAAATGATTAAAATAAAATCTAATTTGATGAACATTATTTCATTCGAATAATGACATTTCCTGAGAAGAAACAGATGAATGTAGTCTCATTCATTAAAAACTCGGAGTAGAACAAATCTAGGTATGATCGGATAAAGAAATGTAAATACGGTCATATATCTCTCTCTTCATCAATTAGATTTTAAAAGAAAATAAAATAACGTGGTTCTTTGTAAAGCAAAAAAAGTTTAAAAGCGTGTTTCGCGGGTGAGTCATAAAGATTCTTAAATTCAGTTCAATAAATAGGAAATTGACGATCATGCGGCGTACAGGCTGTACCGAGCTGGACGGACTCGCGCGGAACACGTGAACGAATTTCTGTGATTCCTTGACATAGCCAGAATAAATCGTGATAAGATCTCTGTAGGCGATGCACGTTTCTAGATATTTCCTTACCAAGACGTATCCCAATCATGTCTAACGGTAGACGAATATAAATGCTAGCAGATTAATCATTACAACTATTATAAACTATTACTTAAAAAATCTTCAAATGAGCAATGTGTTTATTGGACCCCGACGTTGACGAACGTATTACTGAACATATGACGACAAATAATCATCCAATAAATCAAAAAATCATCAGTAAAATAACGACGCATATTTAGGAAGCTAACATACTTTTCAAATGTTGAATAAAAAGATGTCGCTGATAAATATCGACGTGATAAATTAGATCTATCGCGTATATCAACGACAATTTTACTAATCAATCTCTTCGCAGGACCCGGTCACGTTCAAAACTACTACGAACTAAATACAAAATTGTATACAAAATTGTACTGGCACCGGTTTCCACAATATGAGAAAATATTAAATGTATTGTACATAAGGAATTTATCTTAGAGACAACGTTATATGAAGATAATCATCGACAATATGAGAAAATATGAAGTGTATTGTACATAAGGAATTTATCTTAGAGACAACGTTATACTGGTACCGGTTTCTTCTCGATATATACGTGCATCAAAAGATCGTCGCCGTGCGAATTTCACATCGACAATAAATATTGATCGAATATCGAGAATATCCTTTCGAGCCAATCATCCGAGTCTTTAACGACACGCATGCACCAGTGATCATCCCACTGGGTCAATTCTTCGCGTAGTTTCACGCATATAGGTACGCACGCACTTTCTCTCTTTCGGTCACCTATACGATCGCGCGTCTTAGACGCGGTTTAGTCAAGTTTTCGGTCGCAAAACCGCGAAGAGGGTTGAGAAGAAACGCGGTGCCCGATCAACTGGTCCGTTCACGCGCCCATACCGGCGGCCGCTCGAACGTGGACTGACACAATCGCAATCCGCCCTCTCGTGCAGCGTCGCGTCGCAGCGCGCGACCCTTCCACGCCACCATCCCCTCACGACCGCACTGTCAGCCTACTTGACTGCTTCCACCAGCACCCTTCTCTCCTACCTCCTTCGCATTTCCCCTCATGTCGCGGTGCCCGAGTCGGTGAGCGACTTTCCCTCCGTCGAGGCTTTCTCGTCCTTTCTAATCTGCCCTTTTTCTCCAGCAATCCCCTCTTGGTCCGCCCGACCGCCCATCCCCCTGATCCGCAGAACGGAGTTCTAACAATTTGCAGCCAACCACGGTTGCTGCGATGCTTTTTATGCCCTATAAAGTATTCACGTGTAAAAGTGAGACGAGCAAGAGTGGCGCGTGCTCCGCCCGGAAGGTATTTCGTTTGTAAATTTTTAACGTTCTGCATATCCGGATTGTGTTACGTATGGCGAAATTCTTGTGTGATAAATGTTTTCTTTTCAGAACTTTTCTTCGGAAAGATCCTTTTATATTTCAATTTCGAGATTTTATTTCAAAAGTATCTAATATGAAAAGCTAAAAAGCTTCGAATAAAGTGGCGTCTAATGTTTAATATTTCTGTTTAATTAAAATTAAAAAATACACAAAAATCGTGAGCTTGATTTATACACAAAAATACTCTGTGTAAAAATATCTCGGTAAATATTGAAACATTGAATGCGACAGCGACCAAAGTGACGAAATAGGAAATAATCAACATAGTTTTTCGAAATGTCAGTTACCCACTAACATTGATCATTATTTCGTTAATTTTTTTACTGGATATTATACAGAGACACCAAATATAGATAATATAATTTTGCAATATCGTCTGTATAAGGTACACGCGTCCAAAGATGCATGTTCACGGTCGAAGTGTCAAAATTTGTCCGACTAAAGAAAATGCCACACACAAGGCGACTCTAAGTAAATCTCGATGCTCCATATGTGGAATTAAAGACCGTTCGCCGATCGTCGGAGCTGGAAAGCGCGGTGATTTATCGATCTACACGTCTTTTCAACGGAGACGAAAAGAAGACGGAAAAGCTTCTCGCGTACTTTCAATAATAAAATTTTTCAAGTCTGCGTCTCTCGTCGCACAAATGCCTGCGTCTCTCTACGTCACAGAAGAAACATTACGTTTTATTACGCTACGGTGATAGGAAGAACGCGTTATAATCCGATATCGACTTCACGTATCCCGCGCGTCCAAATATATACTGAGTTATCAGTTTTTTTTATATAGAACATTTTTTCATCGAAATCGAATCTCTCCGCGTTAGAAATTGATTATACACTGCGAAAAAAGCTGTGACCGATACACCGCAAGATTTAACACGTAGATGCTGCAGTTCTTCGAGACAATAATGAATTTTTATTTCGAAATCAATAACGAAACGTTTAAACAGATTAGACAAAATGTAAAAATGTTAATAAAAAGTTATATTGTCAGAAAAGCCGCAAATAGGTAAAATACAAAATAAAATAAAGAACTCTTTTATCTTGAACTTAGCAATATAAAAAAACTGCAACAGATGGTGACCTCCAGAATTTTCCCCGAGGAAGCAGCGATCCTAAATTCATCAAATAAAAATCCAACGTGAGAAATGAGGTCGGACGTTCTGCAACATCCCGCGCGCGGATCAGAAAAATGTTGGCATCGCGAATGATGCGGCTTGTACCGCGTTTTTATCGACGTGAAACGTAATTCGTGAGGGAGGGATACAAGCATGATCCCCGCTGTAGATACCTCGAAAAGGAGGACACAGCTGCAATTGCAGCATGCTATACGAAAGCATATACACAGGGCGATTCCCGGCCCCGGCCCGGCGCAGGTCGCGCTTCCGACAAACGGTATTTCCGTGGCTCTATAGTGACACGCGAGCAATGAATGTGCGAGCTCTTCTCGAACGAGGAAGTGTGAGAAAGTGAGGGTTTTGCATAAAACTCCGCCC